ACATGTGAAAAACCCCTCCCCCTTTTTTTTACGAAATACTCAATAACTCAAAAATAAAATTTTGAATCATCACCAAAAAGTATACAGATCTTAAGATTAATATACTTAAGAAGTGTGTAAAGTTTTAAGCAATAATCATAAACTGTTTTTGAGATACAGCGCGACATGTGAAAAAACCATCCCCCTTTTTTAACAAAATACTCAATATCTCTAAAATAAAATTTTGAATCGTCACCAAAAAGTATACAATTCTTCAGATTAATATAACTAAGAAGTGTGTAAAGTTTTCAGCAATAATCATAAATTGTTTTTGAGATACGGCGCGACATGTGAAAAACCCCTCCCCCTTTTTTAACAAAATACTCAATATTATCTCTAAAATAAAATTTTGAATCATCACCAAAAAGTATACAGATCTTAAGATTAATATAACTAAGAAGTGTGTAAGTTTTAAGCAATAATCATAAATTGTTTTTGAGATACAGCGCGACATGTGAAAAAAAAACACACACCTGTTTTAGTTACTAAGTCCCAAAACTCAAAACGTTTTAATCTTATTTTCACCAAAAAGTATACAGATCGTTTGACCATCATAAGAAACAACTATGTTAAGTTTCATGAAATTTCTTGTTCTCAAGTTACGGTCAACATGTTTACACCGGACAGACGACATTTGTATACCATAATTCGTCCCGTCAAAATTTTGACGGGCGTATAAAAATGTATTTTTCAGGGGCAATAACTCAAAAACACAGGTTTACATATTTTTTTCAACATTTCCAGAGTTATAAAATCTTGTCAAGCTGACCATTTTTGTGATTTACACTTTTAACCTAGGGCCTACACGTTTATCAATAACAGGATAACACTTTTAATAAATGTGCTTGGCAAGTGCAGCTGGATACGACCGCTGAGGTCCAACCCTGAACAGTTGGGGCAAAAATGGACACAATATTCAAGCTTGATACAGGTCTGAATTTGGATTGTAATTAAATATTTGACACATTATAGGTTTCTGACACAGAATAAATGTAGTCAAAGAACTTGAAATTGGTTATATGATTTGAATTTATATTCAATTGATTTCTTGCTGTTGTGCAATACACTGTGATGTTGCGCAATACTTAGTAAATCTGTTTTCAGACTATATACAAAGAATTAGCAAAATAAATTGTGACCCCCAATTTTTTTTTGGAAAATTGACTTTCTTAAATCTTGAGGGAAAAAAATTGACCCCACCCCCAAAAAAAATTTTTGTTTACCCACCTTCCAAAAAAATAATGGAAAATTGATAATTTATTAAATCTTGAGGAAAAAAAATTGACCCCCCAAAAAATATTTTTTGTTTACCCCCCTCCAAAAAAAATAATATTTGAAGAAATTTTCTTTTTGTAACATGTGGTACAATTTAAGAGACATCCATACATTTAAACACAAGTAATTGTCTGAAAACATAGAAAAATGCTTGTTTTGGTCCCTTTTTGGCCCCTAATTCCTGAAAGGTGTGGGCTATTACCCCCAAAATGAATACCAACCTTCTACTTGTAGAATTGACCCATATGGTACAATTTCAGAGCAATCAAAATACTTATACACAAGTTATTGTCCTGAAACTAGAAAAATGCTTGTTTTGGGCCCCTTTTTGGCCCCTAATTCCTAAACTGGTTGGGACCATCACCCCCAAAAACAATCCCAACCTTCCTTTTGTGGTATTGAACCTTTTGTTCAAATTTCATAGAGATCCGTACACTTAACCAAATGTCTTCGGACGACGACAACGTGATAGCAATATAGGAACGCAAATTTTTTGCGGTCGTATAAAAATGATTTTTCAGGAGCAATAACTCTAAAACAGGGTGACAGATTTTTCTCCAATTTTTAGGTTAGATACATTTTGTTGTGTTGCCCCTTTTTGCAATTTACACTTTTAACCTTACTCCTATAGTTTTTATGATAGCAGCCACCAACTGTAAATTCTAAAATAGATAGTTTAGAGGCAAAAACAAGTGGTTAGTTTTTACCAAATTTTCAGGGTGGATACATCTTGTCGTGCTGATAATTTTTACAGTTTACACTTTTAACCTAGCTCCTATAATTTTGGTAGATCTTACTTTGTGGAACATTTTTGCCACTAAAGGTTTCTCTCTATCTATCATAGTTTCAATAACTCCAATAAGGGATTAATTTACAAATTTGTTCAGTTTGACTTATTTGTAGATTTTTTTAAACTTGCTGAACATTTTTGCTGTTGAAATTTCTCTTTATCTTTAATAGTTTTCTAGATAAAATCGAAAAACAGAAACTTTAATAACAATTATTATTTCAGGGGCAATAACTCCAAATAGGGTTGTCCCATTGGTTTGAAATTTTTGTGGCAGATAAATCTTTACATGCTTATCATTTTTATTTAGGTCAGTTTTGCTTTAACTGCTTTTTTTTCAGATATAAGCCATAAACTTTTTTTTTTGCCCTATGTTTTATTTTCTTTGTCATGGCGGTCATGTTTTTTGATAGACAAAAAAACACAAACTTTATACTAGATACCTTAAGGATAATTCAGCCCAAGTTTGATAAATTGGTCCCCTGTTTTCAGTTTATCTCTATCTATAATAATATTCAAGATAATAACCAAAAACGGCAAAATTTCCGTAAAATTACCAATTCAGGTGCAGCAACCCAACAACGGGTTGTCCGATTCATCTGAAAATTTCAGGACAGATAGATCTTAACCTGATAAACAATTTTACCCCTTGTCAGATTTGCTCTAAATGCTTTGGTTTCAAAGATATAAGCCAAAATCTACATTTTACCCCTATGTTCTATTTTTAGCCATGGCGGCCATCTTGGTTGGTTGGCTGGGTCACTGGACACATTTTTAAAACTAGATACCCCAATGATGATTGTGGCCAAGTTTGGTCAAATTTGGACCAGTAGTTTCAGAGGAGAAGATTTTTGTAAAAGTTAACGACGACGGACGACGACGACGGAGCCAAGTGATGAGAAAAGCTCACTTGGCCCTTGGGCCAGGTGAGCTAAAAATGTTGACTTTTTTTTCAAGTAGTCACTGAACCATGAAAATGAGGTCAAGGACATTGGACATATGACAGACGGAAACTTTGTAACATAAGGCATCTATATACAAAGTATGAAGCATCCTGGTCTTCTAGCTTCTAAAATATAAAGCTTTTAAGAAGTTAGCTAACGCCGCTGCCACCGTAGCAGCCGGATCACTATCCCTATGTCGAGCTTTCTGCGACAAAAGTTGCAGGCTCGACAAAAATGCTTTGCTGAGCGCAGCCTAATACGACCGCAGAGGTCGAACCCTGAACAGTTTGGGGCATTTTTGGACACAATATTCAAGCTTGATACTGTCTGAATTTGGATTTTGATCCAATTTTTGACATAACATAGGTTTTTGACAAAAAATAAATGTGGTCAAAGATCTTAAAAAAACTATTGCGCAATACTGTGAAATGAAGATTTCTTCTTGAAACTTTTCAAAAACTTGAAATTTGAAAAATTTTGAAAAAAAAATATGAACTCCTTAAAAGAATTGGAAAAACAATCCCCCCCCCCCCTTGGAGCAATTACCCCCAAACTCAATCGCAGCCTTCCCTTTGTAGTATGGAACCTTGTAGTACAATTTTAGACAGATCCATACACTTGAACACAAGTTATTGTTTGGAAACTAGAGAAATGTTTGTTTTTGGCCCCTTTTCTGCCCCATTCCTGCATGTTTACGGCAATTACCCCCAAACTCCATCCCAGCCTTCCCTTTGTGATATGGAACCTTGTGGTACTTTGTCAGAGAGATCCATACACTTATACACAAGTTATTGTCCGGAAACTACAAAAATGCTTGTTTTTGGCCCCTTTTTGGCCCCTAATTCCTAAACTGTTGGTACCATAACCCCCAAAATCAATCCCAACCTTTGTTTTGTGGTGTTGAACCTTCTTGTAAAATTTCATAGAGATCCATTCACTTAAACTAAAGTTATTGTCTGGAAACCAAATGTGTCTTCAGACAACGCTGACGCCGATGCAGACGACGACGACAACATCATAGCATTATGACGCAAAAAAAATTATGCGGTCGTATAAAAATTACACATTCCACACGCATTAACAGACTTTTGAACTACTTGATTAATGTATATAATTCCATGTATCTGGGTTGTTTCAATTTATTGATTAAAGTAGCTTAACTCCAGGACTAATTTACTAATATCAATATATTATGATCCAGCTTAACTTTGTTAAATTTATATATCTTTTTGATGAGCACTGAATTTCATAAATATGCATATGATAAACAGAATAGTTTTTTAATTGAATTGTAATTGATATATTATACTTTCTTTTCCTTTCTGACATAAAAAAAAATTCTTTTTAGTGCTAGATATTTAGTTGGTAGTTTCTCACAAGAACCTAAATATCTTTGAAATTGAACTGTTTTTTTAATTGTATACTCAGATATAAGTTACATATAACCCCTTATACTATAGTAAAAACCAAACATTGTAGCGCCACGCACGAAGGAGAACTTCTCTTTCAAATCTCACCACTTCTCCCTATCAGTTTCAAAAAGAGAAGTCACTTTTCCCTATGATTCTGAAGTAGTGTGAGCCCTGTATCTATTATAGTTTTTTCAGATATAAGGCAAAAATGCAAAAATGACAAAAATATTCATTAAGGGGCATTAACTCCAATAAGGAGTCGTCTGACGATTTCGACCATGTAAACTTATTTGCAGATCATTTTTCACATTTTTTTTCATTTAGCACAAGTTCAATGCTGAAGTTCAACCAATCTATATTTGTAGGAATATAATTTTGTAATTATTCTTTGGGCTTTTTTGTGTCTTGTTTAATGTTGCAGTATTTTGAATGAAAAACTATATGTTGATTATCTTCCCTTTTAGAGTTGAGACACTCTTACATTTCAAACAAATTTCAGTAGTAAATGGTCCTACATATAGTTCACATATAATGTACACTTACCTATAATAGCAACTAGACTGGACAATGTTCACATTGACTGGACAAGGTTTACATTGACTGGACAATTATCTAATTGACTGGACAAGGATGAAATACAAATAACAGATGTTCAATCTGGAAATATAAACAGATAAATGTTTCTTTTTCAAATAGAAATAATAATAACACTTTATAATTGATTGATCGACTGATTGGTGTTTAACGCCACTTTCAACACAATTGTGCTATTTCGTGGCAGTCAGTTTTTATTGGTGGAGGAAGACGGAGAGCCTGGAGAGAACCACCAACCTTCGGTAGAAAAACTGACAATCCTTGTGAATTAAGATTGGAGTCAAGTGCTCCTGCCCCATGTGGGAATTGAACTCGCAACCTCAGTGTTGACAGGCTAGTGAAACAGTAGGTCGACTACTTAGACCACTCAGCCACCGAGGCCCGAAAATTTTATCAAGACAATGATTTTTTGTTGAATACCATTTTGACCTTTATCATTGATTGGTTGCTGTCTGTTTGACATAGACCTCCTAGGGTTCTGACTAAGGACTTTTGAAGGGGAGTTCAGGGAATCCATTGTTGAATACCATTTTGACCTGTCTCATTGATTGGTTGCTGTCTGTTTTACATAGGCCTCCTAGGGTTCTGACTAAGGATTTTTGGAGGGGAGTCAAGGGAATTTATTGTTGAATACCATTTTGACCTGTCTCATTGATTGGTTGCTGTCTGTTTGACATAGACCTCCTAGAGTTCTAAGGATTTTTGAAGGGGAGTCAAGGGAATCTATTGTTGAATACCATTTTCACCTGTCTCATTGATTGGTTGCTGTCTGTTTTACATAGACCTCCTAGGGTTCTGACTAAGGATTTTTGGAGGGGAGTCAAGGGAATTTATTCATTGTTATTGTTGAATACCATTTTGACCTGTCTCATTGATTGGTTGCTGTCTGTTTTACAGACCTAGGGTTCTGACAAAGGACTTTTGAAGGAGAGTCCAGGGAATCTATTGTTGAATACCATTTTGACCTGTCTCATTGATTGGTTGCTGTCTGTTTTACAGACCTAGGGTTCTGACAAAGGACTTTTGAAGGAGAGTCCAGGGAATCTATTGTTGAATACCATTTTGACCTGTCTCATTGATTGGTTGCAGTCTGATTGACATAGACCTCCTAGGGTTTTGACTAAGGACTTTTGAAGGGAAGTCCAGGGAATCTATTGTTGAATACCATTTTGACCTGTCTCATTGATTGGTTGCTGTCTGTTTTACATAGACCTCCTAGGGTTCTGACTAAGGAATTTTGAAGGGGAGTTCAGGGAATCTATTGTTGAATACCATTTTGACCTCTATCATTGATTGATTGCTGTCTGTTTGACACAGACCTAGGGTTCTGACAAAGGACTTTTAAAGGGGAGTCCAGGGAATCTATTGTTGAATACCATTTTGACCTCTATCATTGATTGATTGCTGTCTGTTTGACACAGACCTAGGGTTCTGACAAAGGACTTTTAAAGGGGAGTCCAGGGAATCTATTGTTGAATACCATTTTGACCTCTATCATTGATTGATTGCTGTCTGTTTGACACAGACCTAGGGTTCTGACAAAGGACTTTTAAAGGGGAGTCCAGGGAATCTATTGTTGAATACCATTTTGACCTCTATCATTGATTGGTTGCTGTCTGTTTGACACAGACCTAGGGTTCTGACAAAGGACTTTTGAAGGGGAGTCCAGGGAATCGTCATTAATGACCATGGCGAGTTCCAACTGCGAGAAGAAATTTTAATGCTACATAATTATCGTTTTAGTCTTCATGATAAAAAAGAGCACGGAAATGACATCAAATTTAGATAATTTTTAGACATTCAAATTTGCTATAAAATGGTGATACATGTATGTTCGCTTAGTTGATCTACAAAATTTTACAATCCTTGAGCATCTTTAGGCTTGTCAGTTTTGAAAATGAGTCTAGATAGTTTTCATGACTTCATGACTCATTGACTGCCTTATTGAGAACCCTGATTATTTAGTTAACAACTCTATTTTTATATGCAATTTATATTGTAATGATTGCAAGGTTTATTAGTTTTTTACTCTAACAAGCAATTAATTTTGTAAATAGGTCATGCTATTTTTGTTGAACAGTTGCTCAATGAAATATGTTTATCATGTTAAAAAGGAATTAAAAGCACTGGTGTAATGCAACCTACTAGAATGAACCAGCTAGCTCTTGATTATCTCCCCTTTTATAATTTTAACAATTACATGTACATTGTAGTTCATTTAATAAACTGGGGTATTTACCACTCAACCTTGTTATACTGTGACATACCAGTATCCTTATAATACAAAAAAAAACTCAGCTATTTTCTTGAAAAGTTAATTTTCTTAATCTAATATTTATAATCAATTATTAAAAATATTAATCAAAGCATTGTCGATGTTGTGATCCAGCCATATTGGATTTGAATACCAAAAATAATAACCGGTTAACGAGACCTTTTTCAATTTTTATAGATTAGATATATAAACTGTGTATTGCAGTCATTATATTCAAATTTTTAAATAATCATCTTGCTACTTAATTTGACAGATCATTGTCCAGTATATTGATTGCTTTTCAATTACCTTGGAAACCTTCCAATTTTAAAAAATTAATTAGCACAAATACAACTTGTCTATCAGCTTGCGGCAAGATCTAAAGTAAACATAATTATCATATAGATATAAGAAGATGTGGTATGACTCTCCATCCAATTCAAAATTTATAAAAGTAAACCATTATAGGTCACAGTACGGTCTTCAACACGGAGCCTTGGCTCACACCGAACAGTAAGCTATAAAGGGCCCCAAAAAATTACTAGTGTAAAACCATTCAAACGGGAAAACCAACGGTCTAATCTATATAAAAAACCAGAAACGAGAAACACTTATGAACATGCATGTATTTTGAACAATTATAAGCTGATTAAATTTTACTGTTTACTTCATTATTTCATTTTTGATTTAATATTGCGTAAATATGCCACTTCCATCGTGAAAGGTTTTCTCATAATCAAGACGAAATTCCGACTCAAAAACCGGGAAATGCAAATTATGTGAATGGAATTAACATATATATGAGAAGTAGAGTAACATGCTTAATCATCTCAAATTAAAATACCCAACAGAATGTTCATACTTTGTCAATTCACATAGATCAAGAAGATTTCCATTTTCTCAATCTGAATTTATTACTGTAGATATAGGGCCATAAAAAAGAATAGGTTGGTTTGCCTTAACCCGACCGACCCATAAAAAAGCACCCGAGTCAAAATCTTTTTTTATTCAAAATTCGTGATGTTTTTTTTTTGCGGAATTTTGTCGTATCCGTATCCGTCTTGAGTTTGTTGCATAGAATAACCTGATCCGATCTGACCGCGCTTTATCACAGGACAATTTGTGTTATGTACTAAAGCCTCCAATTGATACGGATGAAAAACAACATGATACCGTCTAGGGGACACGGTAGTATTTCCTGGCCCATAAGGGATAATGATAGCCTTTTTAGAATTTTCACCACTTTCTAATTCTGCCAAAAATTCTACATAAACAGTTAACTGAAGTACTTTCCTTATACTATTCAGAAATGAATTTGAATATGTATCATGACCGTTTACTTTTTTTGATATCTTTAAAAACCTAAGGCCACTAATTAATGCTTTTTAAGATCAATATTTTATCTTTTCGTGCATGTTTTTTTTTCAGTTGAATTTATGCTTATGCATCTTAAAAACCCAGAAGTATTTGCACCTACTGAAATCGGCTGTTTTGTTAAATGATCAAAAATTACAATATCTCGTAGCTTCATACTACCAATTATGTATAAACAAGTATATAAGATGCAAAAAATCTTAAATTATACACCTACATTTAACTTTTAAAAGCCATAAAAACAGTTTTAAACAATCCAAATATACAAACTTTACAATACTTGGTTTAATTTCAACTGGTTATCAACCCGTTATGCTCTAAGCTCACCTGTATCAAGGGGCCGTGTGAGCTATTGACTTGGCGTCCGTAAATCTTCTCTGAAATTGCTTGACCAAATGTTACCAAATGAACTTTCCTGAGTGAATCTAGGAAAAACAATATTCATCAACAAACATGACCACTGTTAGTTAAAATGTATTCGAGTTTTTAGTTTATATCGCAAAAGTTCAAGCAGTTAGCATGGTTAGAGCAAAACTTACCGAGTTAAATTATTTAACAGGCCAATGTCTATCTACCTTGCACTTTTCAGAAAATTCAGATCAGATGCCGAAACTTGGTTCAACAACATTTATCAGCAATACAAGATTTTGACCCACACAGTTTCCATTCAATACAAATATTCTTGTTGCAATGAATCATTTTAAATGCAAACATACCAATTACAGCCTTTAGTTTATTTATATATATGTATAGATTATCGGGTTTTCTACACATTGATATCGTAAAATATCAACCGCGAGCCACAATGTGAACCTTTTTTGGCGAGTGAGAGAACGAGAGAAAAGGCTTCACATTGTGTCGAGCGGCAGATATTTTGCGATATCTATACGAAGAAAAACCGATCATCTGTTTATCGTTCTATAACTGGTCTTTTCCCCCTCCTTAAGACAGTTTTACGCTTGATGAAAGCAAGCTTGATAACGTCTCCTCTCACATTGTGACGTCGCTGATAACTTCTCCCCAGACATTGTGACGTCGCTGATAATGCCTGCTCACGTCTCAAAGCCGTGATACGAGAATTACGGAGCGACTGAGCAGGGTGATATATGCGTAGGGAAGGACGATAAATATGAATATATGGAGGGGAGCAGGGTCACCAGGGTGTGAAATCCATACCATCTGAAATAAATACTATGCATAGATCTAGAAATCGACAGATAATAATGACATTTAAAAAAAATACTCTCTTGTATTCGAAGTTTTTGCAGTTTTTTTTTGTCTAAACAAATTGACACACAAAATGAATATAATATTGTGGAATTTTTTAACTTAAAATGTTCGATACATTGGAAACACCGGTTACTAGGATAATAATCCTGTCACGTATGAATTGGGTAAAAAGATGGAAATGTGAAAGTTTACGGGCGGTAGGTGCAACAGGATACAGACAGCTCACATGGCTCGTCACGGTGGGAGCTAAAAAAATGGATCAAAGTCCATGAAAATTTGATTTAAAACCTTTATTCATTCCAACAAATTATTGAGATTTTGTTGAGGATTTTACCATTTACAGCAACAAGAAAACTTTCAGAATTTAATGCAAAGAAGGTTTAAAGTCTTTCGCCAAAAATACTATCAATTTCTTCTTATCCTATGTTAACCTCCATGCAATCTCCATCCCTTTATGATCAATAAATTGAACTGTAAAATACTGCTTAGTATTTTCCACATGCCTTTATAATGCCTGATGTATACATATTTATGACAATAACTGTTGTGAGCACAAGATTCACTGCACAGTTTTAAAGTTTTGCTAAAACAAAAATTAAAATGTAAACTTAAGTTTTGCGAAATTTGTTTGATGTGTACCGATTGAGATTTTAATCTAAGAGAACATGGTTTATCTATTAGTTGAACTAGCTTTCAGTAGTAGCGAGTACTCGTGGTTCAATAATTTGTGTCTTTATGTTATTATTTTGTGTGCTAAGTGTTGTGTTGTTACACCACTTACCAATGAAGGAGGAAAGGAGGAGGGGTTGGGTGGGGTGTGGAGCGCAAACAAACATGTTAAGCCCTGTCACGAGTGCCCAAAACCAGTGTTTGTCGATGCTTGCTATCTGTCATGTTTGTTTTTTGTTCAAAGTTGTATTTTAAATCAGGCCGAAGGTCTTAATTATTTAATCTTTTACCGTGATTTTTATAGCTAGTATTCGTTATGGTTTTTGCTCGTTGTTGAAGGTCATACTTTGACTTGCAATTGTTCACATCTTGTTCCATTCTAGTAAGTTTTTATCAGTCATGTATGAAAAGCAAGTCTAGGTCGTTTTTTTTATCCAGTCGAAATGTATTGGAAACAGTGTATATATTTAGGAAGAAATTAGAGGCACCAGTAGTAAGATCATCTAACCTCGTATATTTAACTGAAATAAACCAGTCAAACGTTTATTGTTGTTATAATATACATGTCGCTTAACCTTAAGCACCTTTTAAAACTGTTTTAGTTAGCATATTATGTAGAGAATCATCAATTTAAGGGCATTTAATATCTTAAATAAAACTATTCTAATTAGATATATTTTCATCTGATATTGGACGGAAGATGTTGCCCTTTTATGTAATATAAGTTACGATTATTTGAAAACGCTTATTAAACAGCCAAATGGATGCACAAAAGTAAAAATAGGAGTCACAAATCCGATTGAATACAATTATCTGCCCAATTTTATTGATTCTGTAACGTTTGTTTCAAATATAACCAATTATTTACCCAAAATCACCAGCACCGTATCAGGACCCACCAGCACAATGACAGGACCCACCAGCACAGAATCAGGACATGTTTAAACTGAGAAAATGCACAATTTTAATAAATTGCACAGGTTTTTCACAAAATAATTTTGTCGTGTGGATTTGGGTATAGAAAGCGGACTCCAGGAGTATTTTTGTTTTTTTTTTTTCAGTTCTAGATTTTCTAAAAATGAGCACTTTTGTGTTACGCTTACTGAAACAGTTTAGAAGGTCACATTTGTAATTGTTTGCCTATGAACCAATAAGAAACAAAATTAAAACATCTCAACTATTTCCTTCCATTTTTTATGCGAGAAAACGTCAAAATTCGTCATTTTCGTCTTTGTTTACATATTTTTAATGATCACCAGCACCAGTCAGGACCGAATCACCAGCACAGAACGCTCTCTGGAAGGACAACCTTACCCACCGTGATTTAGTAGGGTGCCCAGTCAGCAAAGGAGTAGGTCCAGTAAGACCCCTTTTTGGCCCCAAAATATAGCAGTTTTACAAAGTTGTTAAAATGTAAACTTTTAGCTATTTATTGGAAAGAAGAATACTTCTGTTACATAAATATGGGCTGTTTTTGACAATACAATGCACATGTATCGGGTACTAGCATCATTAAGTCATGCTAAATTACTGAAATCTTCACAATTTTAGCATTTGAGTTAATTTTTAGACGGTTTTCGTCTTAAATGGAAGTGGCCGCATTCGTGTTCATTCTTAATATTTAAATGTAAGTTGTATTTGATGATAATACATATCATATATAAAGGTCGAGGATGAACACGAATGCGGCCACTTTCATTTTTGACAAAAACTATCTGAAAAGTGACATATTATGGCATAATTGAGAGATTTTTAATATTTAAGCCTGCATTTGAGCGTCTTTGGTGACTAAATCGGCCCAAATCTTTCAGATAAACTAATTGAATCTACTAAAGTAGACACTTGAGTGTTTAAAAAGTGTCCAAAATCTTTCATCAGATGAACCTGAAATTTGAGGCCAAAATCGGCCCTTACCGGACCTACTCCTTTGATCGATTTGGGTTAACGGAATATCACACGGCTGTATTTCATATCATTGGAAAGAGAAGAACAAGACTCGTCGAAATATTGATGTCGTCGTTGTCTACAGTGGTCACGATTTTCTTAAATCTTGGTCAAAGGTCAAATCTAAAATTTCAAGGAAAACGCAGAGTCAAGTTTAGACAGCTGGCCGCCCCTACATATATGCATTTATAGCAAAATAAATTCGAATAATTCAAAGGATTATAACTATAGTTTCTATATTAAGGACTTATTTGATATTTATGCTGCCAAATATGGTTCGAGATTGGCATTTGTACTTATAGGGTGCACATTTACAATTTTCATTCAGCTGTTAAATAACAATGACCCTGACCTATTAAAATTTTCAAATTTGGAATTTTTACATAAGATTCGATACAAGTGATCTCTAGAGATGTTTTTTAGATATTAACATTTATAAGTTGCCCTGCCAACATGTTATTTTTTCATCTTTTGATAGAAGGTGTTTGTAATGATTTTCTGGGAAAATATCCAATTTTCGTTTGGTAAGTGGTGAAGCACATAAAATTGTACTTAGTTCCAAAACTGGTGTAATACTATCGCAGAATGGATTGAATTAGCAGGTCTGAGTATACCGTTCCTTTATAGAAATAAGAAAGACTGCAAACGGTGGAAAAGAGGGAGGGTTTCTGTTAAAGTACCGGTATATATGAAAACAAAAAATGTTAAAAAATGTTAATCACTCCATCTTACAATCTTATATATGCCTTATTGAGCATAAATTGGCCTACAATTGACATGAAGTTAAAGATTATCTACAAAAAGAGGGTTGTAAACAACATCAATCTAATTAAAATATAGATCTCTGATTTCGTTATCCTCATATGAGCTTATATATACGAGTGCGCAAGTTAATCATGTTAATATAGATCAGAATTTTAATCAGATTGAAACAACATAAACAAAATGCCGAAGCTAGCAGTAGCTATTACGTTTCATTGTCTACTGTTAAGTTGAAAGCCCACCGACCAGGTTTAGGTTAGAGAGCTAATTTCAGTTGTTTCATTTTAAAATCGCATTTGAAGCAAGTCGCAGAATGCGAAGGAATACAGCATACAATCTGATGGTGGCGTCGGCAACACTGTTAACTATTTAGATATAAGAAGATGTGGTATGAGTGCCAATGAGACAACTCTCCATCCAAGTCAAAATTTATAACAGTAAACCATTAAAGGTCAAAGTACGATCTTCAACACGGAGCCTGGGCTCACACCGAACAGCAAGCTATAAAGGGCCCCAAAAATTACTAGTGTAAAACCATTCAAACGGGAAAACCAACGGTCTAATCTATATAAAAACGAGAAACAAGAAACACTTATGAACCACATCAACATACGACAACTACTGAACTTCAGATTCCTGACTTAGGACAGGTTCAAACAATTGCAGTGGGTTTAAACGTTTTAATGGTACCAAAGTTTCACCCTTATCTGAAACAATAGTGTAACATCACAACATAGAAAGACACACTATAAAATATTAATTGAAATGGCTTAACTCAATCAAAAGACATATTAACACCAGTGAACATACACTGAACAAA